TATTTTTTTTTTTGATATTTTATTACGCATTATAAGAAACGCAGCAGCGCCAATGCAGCATGCGACTTGTTCTATATCTGACATGGTCACGACTGTTGGCAAACATATAGCGAACAACAAATTATAAACAAAMGTTTCTTGTCATTTAATAAAATGTTTGACAAACGTTCGACAAATGTTTTTCAAATGTTCGACAAACGTTTGACAAACAATGTTTCCCCAAACGTTTGTTAGGTGTGGACACAGCTTTAGACATTAAGAGCCCGTTAAACCACGGAATCAGCCGTTAAAATTAATGGTTCAATCATAACCGAGATTTAAACTGTGATTGTAAAACGGATCCTAAGTGGTACTCAACTCATTGTATAATATTTATATTTACTTCATGGTTTTATCATAAATTTGAAATTTGAATAATTTTTCCCTAAACCTAACCTAAACTCCAATTAATCCGCTGGATTAAGTGATGAATTAAGGAACACACGGAATATGTCTAATAACCATGAATTAATTCTTAATTCCTGCTGACAAACGGTTACGTGGTTAATCTTGTTATAACCTAACCTAACCAATCAATCACATTAAAGTGAATAGTGAACATGTATTTCAATTGTGGATTCCYTAACTGACCCAACCAAAACGAGGTTTTTATATTCCAAATGCAACGTGTTTTCTTCAAGAGATCGTACATTTTGGTATTTTTCCTTTTCAAGTAACAACAACCCGTTATTGGCTAGCCTGTTTTTCATTGTGTTTACCAATAATTTAGGAAATGGCGACCCTTTATAACCACGTTACCATAATGGAGACTTGTTGTCATTGGTCTTTAATATTTCGATAGTTTTTGAGTCGGTAATCTAGGATCAAAAGACCAATAGAAGTCGAAATGGGAAAATATTTCGAAACTTCAAACAATCATTTTTTTTTATGACATAAATTACAAGAAAATTATTATAAATAATGAAAATAATTAGGTTTGTAAAAATCCGTCTTACAAGAATGCAACTGTTGTTTGTGATACCTTCTGCGCGGCTACACTGTTTCCAGGCCTGACTACGCGTTCCGTGTCAGTGTATGCCTAAATAATGTCTAGCATTTAATTCCCCCTCTACTGCTTGATTCATTAGGTTCCTTCAGTTCCTTGGCCTTCGTAGATGACCGACTGGTAATTGGTATTGGGTTAGACGCATTATTGGCTATTGCATGTCTACTGGTATTCCGTATCCAACGTACGATCTGCTTGACGCTTGTGATTTCATTGTTCGTTCTGCGTTCCCCCGTCGTAACAACTACCACGATCTCGGATTTCTGCCGACGTTTTGATAACTGAAATCTCCCGCGGGTTTACACCGTAGTTGTTCGTTTATCGTTACAGTTTTTCATCAGCTGCTCGTGCGCCGCGGCTGTCCACTCGGCGGTTCTCCTAGAAATTCATATTGTGTGCATTCCTTCGACACTCCGTCTGATTCGGACAATACGTAAGTATTGAGTATTTGAGTTCATATTACTTGCCGCAATGCCGCATCATCGCCTTTGTCGCACACTTGTCTGCTTTCCGTTCGATCTTTTTGGATTTGAGTTCCAAGCTCAGCGTACGCGCGGCCCGCATTTTTGTGGTTAGTTACATTATGTGTTGTTGAGTACTTCATATGATTTCCAAGCGATGTGTAGAATTAAACGATAACTATATACCCTATACGGGCATGGCCAAAACTCACCTACCTAATACGAATTGTGCGTTGAGTATTTAAGTAATGACTACTCAGAAATTGATTTTCGATACTTTACTTACCAAGATAAATGTATTTCGTGCATTAAAAGTAGCAAGCGTACTTAGACTTAGGTATATATATATGTGTGTGTGTGGATTGAATACTTTTCAATTTAATTGTACTTAACCCTTAGGGCAGTAGTTTTTGGCACTTAATACTCTTGTATGTTTCGTAGATGTAATTAGGAGCTAAGTTCATGATGTCACTAGAAGTAAACAAGGGGTGGATAGAACTTTTTTCRGGCAGATCTTYTGTGAGGTACCTTTGTGACAAGGCATAGTTTATCCATACTAATAATGATTTAATATTAACAATATGATAACATAAGTATGCAAGTAATGTGTTGACTAGAATTGAACTAAATCTGGATCTTTTCAATCATATCATGTTGTTTATAATATATGGGGTATTACATCCCATATGTGTTGTATTAATCATAAAATTTATGTACTACAATTCCAATTTTGTGTTGTTAGATTTAATATTAATTACTTAGTCTATTATCCAGACCCAGTTTGAAGTKGTGAGCTAAAATCTCGGTGGGTCGCTCAAAAAGATGGCCAATCATAGGTGTTAGGGCATTATTTTACAATACAAATTTAAATATGTTTATTTATCTCAGTGCGCTACGTAATATTTAGGTCAATTTAAAAATGTTCATTTGAAAATAGGCCTTTTAAGGCTGGTTAAAAAAACTATAACTTTGTGAGCAGATACTTTGACTATCCGACGCTGCTATTATCAAACTTAAGGGTTAAACATTGTCTATATTCTCTTGATAGTATTTGTGATATTTTAATTTTAAAGTGAGTTAAAAGCATTTTTAAATATAATTTTACATACTAATAGTTTGGTTAAAGATTAAAATATTGTTAGAAACTAACTATAGCACATAGATAATGATCCAACCTTTAAGTTAATAGATACATTTATAATGTAAGCAATCTTCCCAAAATTATTAAAGCTTACAACACAAAATCGGAACTGCTGAACATAAATTTTGGTAAGTTGTGTGTTAATAAATTAAGGTCAACTCATATTCTCATGTATATAACATTCATTTAAATATTTATAAATATGTGCTATAATATATTAGCTTTAAATAAGTATTCATATGTTATTATTTTACATTTTAGAATATACAAATATGTTTGAAATATTTTTTTGCCACCATTTTATTATCAAATCAATTTTTTCAATTTAATCTGTCAGTTAGCTATATATTAAATGTAAATACTAATGACCAGAGGTAATATTTAAACCAATGCTTAAAACAGATACATAATACAGTAGGTATTAATCATCATAATTTCTATAATTAGTTGGTTATTGATTAAAATTCCTTTAAATGTTTTAATTTAGGTACATATGTACTCGTATTTGAACTGTAATGAATTGTCTTTAAGTTATATTGTTGATTATATGTATATTATTATTTTCAGAAAAATGTCTGGTATTGCATTAACTCGATTATCAGAAGAACGTAAAGGATGGAGGAAAGATCATCCATTTGTGAGTACTAATTTGCTTTAAAACACTACATGTTATGAGTTAAAACAATATATTTTTTTACATCTTAAGGGTTTTGTCGCTAAACCAGGCAAGAATCCAGATGGTTCTTTAAACCTTATGGTATGGGAATGCTATATACCTGGAAGAAAGAGTGTAAGTATTATTAACATTTTTATTTAATTTTATACCTGTGTCTGATTATGATTGCAAGGTTTTAAAGAAATATCTTTTTTTTTAATTAAAACATTTGTTCT